ATAGCATCTCATTCATGCATACTGTATCTCATGGATTTCTAAAATATTTGGCTTCAAGTATTCTAATGATGTATTTTGTCTTAGATGTTCTTTTTTTAAATTGCTAGCTGTTGCTTTTTAACTCTTATCATTTTTTGTTTTCTTCTTTCTTCCTTAGAATAAACACATTTGTCATTGAATGTTTTCCTAATGTTAGTTTAGAAGCTATCCCTTCTTCTATTTCCATGGTAACCTAGAGATTCTAAAATGTGTCCTCAATATGACCTAATATTATTCAGCATTTTGTTTCTTCTCGGGTAATACAAGTACTAACTACACTTTATCCCCTCCCTGCAATTGTGTTAGGTATTTTAATTCTCTATAATTTAAGGCTCATAAGAGCATATCACTCCCATCCAATTCAGCTACTATTAGGATTTAAATCTAAAATGCCCCATAAAATTCTCATGTGCCTGGAGGGTGATTGGATTTTGGGGTACCATACTTACCCTCTAAGAGCTATAAAGCTCTTAGAAGCAAACATGGGTAGATCTTCATGACCTTGGCTTCTTAGGTCTGAATCCGAAGGCGCAGCCAATGAAATAAAAATAAACTGGACTTTATCCAAATGGTCTGCCCTGTGTACGTTCTATTTAGTAAAATGCCTCTTTCTGTCTCACTTCATTTCTGTGCATTGAATTTTGAATGTTCTTTAAGCGCTGTCACTGATGACTCTTCGCTGGGTGCAAGATCTGCAAACAGTTTTGCAGTTAGCATTGAAATCTATGAGACAATTAGCACTTAAATTCTCGAGCAAGGCTCTATTTTTTCCCCTGTGAGTGTATAATTGCGTCATCCTCTTGTATTGAAAAGTCTCTTTCTCTCTTCAAATTGCTTTTGCATCTCTGTTACGGACCCCGGACACCTTGGCAGGGTCTGTCTCTGGCTTCTCCGTTTTGCCCCCTTGGTCTGGGTATGTTACAGTTTATGTTTAAAGGTCCCCTCAAAGCCTCATGAGGCCATGGGGGCGGGCCTTTAAAGGCAGCTGAGCCAGGCGTTTGTGATTGGTTCATTGCCTCACGCTGGGATTGGTGGTGCGAGCGCTGTACCCGCCCAGGGGCGGAGCCAACATAGTGTAAGGGAAGGGTGGAGAATTTAAGTGCTAATTGTCTCATAGATTTCAATGCTAAATGCAAAACTATTTGCAGACCTTGCACCCAGCGAAGAGTCAGCAGTGACAGCACTTTTGCCCTTTTAGCTGTTGTTGCTTGCGGCTGCCATGAATGGCTGCCCCAGAGCCATGCCACCCTGCCTTGGAGGCACCTGAGTATGGGCTCAAACCTCAAAAAAACTGTAAATAAACCTTTTCTTTCTTCACTTTGGGTGTCAAGTATTTTGTCTCAGCAGTGAGAGAAAAGTAACCAAGACAGGGTACCCACTTCCCCACCCGCAGCACAATCTCCACTACTATATCTCTGTCACCAGTCTGAAAGTGGGCAAGTGATTATTCCCACTTAATCAAGATGATTTGCCTTTCTATGTAAATATTAAGAGCAATCTTGTCTATGTTTAAAAAAAAAAAAAAACCAAAGAGGGCTGGGATATAGTTCAGCAACACACAGCTGCCTGGCAAGGACCAGGTCCTGAGTTTGAGTCCTGGTACCAAAAAACAAAACAAAACCTTCCCGGAATTTTTGTTAAGAATTATGCTAAATTTATACATAGGTTTGCAAAGAACCGGCCTCTGCACTATTTGGGGTTTTTCAGTGTGCAACCAAGCTGTATTTATCTCGGAGATGTAGTTTTTCTGCAGTAATATTCTGTAGTTTTGGCATGCGATGCTGCCCGTCCTCCATTGGCCTTGCATCTGAGGTTCTCATTTTGAGGGGGAGTGTTTGCAAATGGTACTGTATTTTTAATTTTAGTGTTCACATGTTCACTGCTGGTAAGGAGAAATACTATTGATCTTTGTATATTCAGCTAGTGTTCTGGGGTTCTGGGAACTCTCGAGTCATTCTAGAAGTCTCTGCAAGTTCCTTAGGTTTTTCTATGTTAGTGATGGTGTCCTGTGCCCACAGGGAAGTGCTGCTTCTTCCTTCCACCTCTGAAGCCCTTTCATTCTCTTTTCTTGTCTGTGTCCTTGTCTGCTGGCTCGAATGTCCCACAGTCTGGAGGTTTAGATCTTTTAGAGCAATGTCAGGTGAGCAGTAGCACTGAACAGAAGGGACCAAGAGGTCTACCCAACCCTTCCACCATTATCAAAACGTCCCACCAGAGTTGCAATCAACAAACACTCCCTGACACACTGGGGTCACCCTTGGTGTTGCACATCCTGTGGGTTTGGACAAATGTAGCAGGTCACAGACCCGCAGTATACTGTCACACAGAATAGCGTCACGGCCCTGAACGTGCTCCACGCTCTGTCTCACCTCCTCTCCCTTCCTCTAACTCTTGGCCATTCTGTCTTTTCCAGAATGTCTCCAATTGCAATTGTATTGCATGTAGCCTTTTAGACGGGCTTCCTTTACGTAGTCACACATTTGAGGCTTCTTGGTGTCTTTTCCTGGCTGCAAGTTCTTTCTTTTTCATGCTAATAGCTCACCCTTGGGATGCTGTACTTTCTTTAACCCCCAGCCCTGGAGGACATCATGGTTACTTTTGACGTTGTGGATAAAGTTGGCCACATGTCTGGGTGCAGGTTCTGGCGTGGACGGAAGCTGTCACCTCCCTTGAATAAATACCAAGGAGTGCAAACGGTTGGCCCACACAGGAAGGGCGGGCTTAGCTCGGCTTCTTCCAAGTGGCTGCACTCTGAGCCCTGGTCCTTTCACTTCTTGTGGTGTCTTGTGGCGTCACGATTCTGAACACAAGCCGCCCTAACCGGCGGGTGCAGGGGGAGTCCTTTGTCCCCCTCTATTTATCCGATGTCTCCCCATGTTCTCTGCCGAGGTGTCTTTGGCCCGTTTTTTTAAATCGGGTTGCTCATTTCCTTGTAGTGAGTTTAGAGCGTTCTTCATCTGTTTTGCACCCTGGTCCTCTATCCGATGGGCTGTTTTTGCACCTCATCTGGCCCAATCTGTGGCTTTCTTTTTGCAGAGCAGATCTTTTAAATTTTAATGAAGCCCAGCTTATCAATTTTCCCTTTCATGGCTTGTGCCTTTGATGTATTTAAACACTCATCACCCAACCCAAGGTCATCCGGACTTCCTGGCTGCTCTTTCCCAGGAGTTTCATGGCTCTGGTGGGGGCCTGGGACCCACGGAGACGCTGCTTTGTGGGGTGTGAGGTCTGCTTTGATTCCTTTTTATCCAGCTGCACATGGCTGTCCGGTTGTTCAGCACCATTTGTCACGAAGGCTATTTTTGCTCCACTGTGCTGCCCTTGGCCCTTGTGGCGCGCCGGCCAGCTATATTTCTGCGGCTCTATTCTGGGCGCTCTGTTCTATCCTGTTCTGCGCTATTGATGCGTCTCTTCTTTTGCCAACAGCACTCTGACTTGTGTAATCTGCTTTTAAACCCACTTACCGAGCCTTGCATTTGGCTATCCTATTTTCTCTGAATCCCTACAGTTTCTAATTGCTTTTGAAAAAAATTTCCTGTATCTCTTTAATAGTTTGCAGACATTCTTGCATTTCTTTTGAGCACGGGACACACAGTTGTTCAAAGGCCTGTGTCTCAACGTCCCTCCCCTGGAGCCTCTGCCGATCTGTCCCCCCATGCTCCCCCATTTCTGCTGCTCCTCCATCACCGATGCTCATCTGGGGTGACTGGGCCTCTCTGGGGAAGGATGCTTTTTCTGCCGTCACTTGTCAGGGTGTGCTGGGAATGAGGTGCAGCTCAGGAACTGGGGGGCTCTAGATTCTCAACACGAAACTGAGCTGTGAGGGCTGGCGCACTCCTACATCTGTGACGCAGGAGTCACAGCAGGGGACGGTGAGAAGCCACGTCAAGTCCTCTATGCAGGAGAGCAGTGTGCCCCACGTGTCCATGCCTCGTGGCTGCCAGGAGCCAAGTCCTGTAGCCCCGTGCCTCCATGTCCCTTGCCCTCTCTGCCCCCACCCACGCCTGCCTTAGTTCCGCTGCTCACACAGCCGGGTGCTTGTCACCCAGTCAGCCACCAGGTTCCGAGGGCAAGCCAGGTGCGTCTCCTCTGTCCTCTCCTCTGCGTCCAGGTGAGGGACACCAGGGCAAGACAATGGCTTTTCAGGAGTGACAATGCTCACCTGTCCACTTTCCAGAGGCTGGGGCAGGGGGTGCACGTGTGCACCAGTGACAGGTGGAGCACAAGAAGAAGAACCACTGGGGTTCCCTGGGGTCCTCCCTGTACCCCAGGAGTAGCTGGAGACACACCCATGTGGCTCCTCCCGTCATGCTTTTCTGGGTCTTTCCTGCACTGGGCCTGAAATTGTTAGGGAGGGGGGCTGCTGGTGGGGCTGGTCCCCCCAGGCCACCAGAGCTGGGACTGAAGTTCTTGGGGTCACGGCAGGGGTTGCTACACACAGCCTTGAACCTGAAACACGGACAATAGGACCCGGGCCTGCGCGATGGAGTGTCCTGCTGTGGCCAGCTCAGCGGGGATCAGGACCCAGGTGGCTACAGCATGACCCAGCCAGGGTGTCACACAGCAGGACAGCAGGGTGCCAGCTCGGTGTCCTCTGCTCTCTATGAAGCCTCTCTTGCCAGAGCTGAGGAGCTCGCTAAGCCTGCCAGGGCCCTGCCCCAGTATGCAGTTACATATGGGAGCTATGAATGTGGAACCCTGTTCAAAGCATAGCACCAGCCTGCACATGTGGGTAAGGAGGAGACAAAGAGGGACCCGGCAGAGAGCACCTGGCTGTCCCCGACCTGCCTGGTGCCCTCAGCTCCATCCCTCTCTCTCTCCACCTGCTCAGAGCTGGACCCCTGAGGTCCTGGGGTGAACTTGTGTCCCCAGCTCCTCCCAACCCCCACCCCGGCTGAGACCCCAGACTCCGCTCAGCAGAGCGATAAAGGCGTGACTCAGGACACCACGGCACACTCGGATTCCAGAACAGTGGATGTGACACTCCTTTATTAAAACCTAAGGACATCTTTATAAAAACTACTGTGTATAAAGACAAAAGCAGCGTGACAGCGGTCAGTGTAAAACACGTCATTGTCACAGGGGAGGGTATTCGGAGGGACAGGATTGGTTTTTTGGTTTTCCCAGTTATCAGCATCTGACACCCCACCTTGCCACACAAAGTTGGGGTTTCCAGCACAGAGGGGAGGTCCCTGTCCCCCCGACCTGCACACCCTCATCTAGCTAGCCCCGGGGAGGACCACGACCTTTGGGGGGAGGCTCCCTGCCGTGTCCCCAGGTCCTTATTGCACACTCACTGGTCCGGATGTGACCGAGCTTTCACACAAGCAGTGGGGAGGGAGAGGAAGAGACGGCGTGAGAAACTGAGGCACGTTCCAAGAAGAGACCCCCTCAGGGCTCCGGGCTGGCGCTGCTGTGAGAGGACTCTGCTCGCTTCGCAGGGTGGTTCGGGCCGTTCCACAGGGACCCCAGGGTCCCGCTCTATTCCTGTGAGTGATGCCCTCCCTCCTGGTGTCCCGCAGCCCTGAATTTCAGTCTGTCAAGGACAGAGGGCGTCAGGGCTCTGATATAAAAATACGAGTTTAGGCTACAGAGTGACGAAGGGACCGATCTGCTCACTCGCCAAGCGTCTGTCTAGCACCAACCCTGTCTGGGTCCTGGACTGGAGACGGGTGGGGCCAGGGAGGCAATGCCACCATCAGGGTCACCTTCATGGGTGGGGCGGGCAGGCTCCTTATTCGTGTGCGGGTTTGGTTTCTGGAAGGAATGGAGCGTGACACTGGCCTGGTAAGGTCACCCACTTTCGGCCCTCTGAATGCTTGGGTGACCCCAGGGACCAGGCGGACAGGGAGATGGAGCCCCCTGAGGTTCCCACTGCACTCCTGACCCCAGATTGTTATGCCAGAGTGGGCAGGCCGAGTGTCACCATCCTGTCCTTCCACCCTGACCAGAACCACCCTATGGGGAACCTTCTCTTCACACCCAAAGGCTCTTCTGTGGGCCAGGGCCAGCGAGATGACCAGTGAGAGCAGACGAGTGAGAACCCGCCAAGCCTGCTGCTGGGCACCGAATTCCCACGGGCATGGTCTCCAGCAGTCCCGTGAGGGGGGCTCAGCCAGGCAGGTAGAGGTCCGAGGGACCACCAGGGTGAGGCCGCACCACTGGGCTGCTGTTTGAAGTGACCGGAGGGGATTCCACCAGGGCCTGGAGCCAGGGCATCTCCGAGCCTAAACAGATCACACCCTGTCCTGTGCCAGGGCTCCCCTGATGTTGCCCGCTGGGGGAAAGCCCAGCTGCCTCCCAAAGCCCTGTGTGTGGACCCCAAAGGGGACAGGTCTGCCTGCTGAGTCACACATGTGCATGTGTTTATGCATGCACATGTATGCACACGTGTGTGTGTGTGTGTGTGTGTGTGTGTGCATGGTCTCTCTAAGGCCCGCTGCACCGGGTGAGTCACAGTCCTGTGAGCTTCCTGTCTGGGTCCCCAGATACTGAGATTCTGGAAGACACAGCCACCAAGCCACACCCGGGGAAAGGAAGGCGTAGACTGCCCGTCGTGAATGGCACGGGTTCCCGAGGGAAGGAGTCACCCGGACAGGGAGCTCGTGACGACACACAGTGGATGCACTGAGGTCTTCTTTTCCTTTTTTGGATTTTCATTATGGATGGTGATAAGTTAGAGGTGGGGCCGGAGGGAGACGACAGAAAGGTAAAATAGGCGGCTTGAAAACTCAGGCCCGGGCACCACTGAAGAGCCCTGACCCTAGGCGTCTACCCTGGAGCGCGGCTGTGCCCTGTATCTGACTTCCGGGGACCTGCGACTGACTGGCACGTCCCTGGCCACAGTATGATGGGCACAGGACTTTGCCCTTCCTGTCCTGGGCACATCTGAGGTGCTGCCCTTGGCCAGTGAGCCCAGGAGGCTCAGAGAGGACGGGCCACTGGCCAAGGCACCCATGGGGAGGGAGCAGGGCTGGGGCAGAGGTCCCTTCCTCTGTGGCCCTTGGACCATCAGCCCCGCGGGGACTTTCTGTGACTCTCAAGCCCACTGGTGGCCAGGGATGCCCTCCTAGAAGGTCACAGATCCAGAGGGGTGCGAATCAGCCCTAACTGTGCAGTGACAGTGGTCTCTGACCCCAGCACCTGCAGGGCAGGGGACAGGTCACCAGACCCTGATCGGCAGAGGAAGCTTCTCTGTGAGCACCAGCCAGGCACTCAGGAAGCCAGCAGCCTCTGGGCACCTGGGCTGACTCCTCCCACAGATGGGGAAACTGAGGCAGCAAGGACGCAGGCCTTGCCTGAGGTCACACTGCTCTTAGCAGCAGAGCTGATGCCAGAATCGGGCTCTTGGGCTCCCCACTCACACCCCAGGCTTCCTCTCACTCTGGAGGCCCCCACAGGGGATGGAGGTGTGGGCTGATCCAGCTAGGCTGACTGTCCATCGTCTTCCAGAGACATCGCTGCCCTACATGGACACAGCCCTGGGGCACGCGGCCCTGAGGGGAAGGACACCATGCCCGTCCCTGCTCCGGACTCCACGCTGTGTGTGCCAGACCACCTGAGCACCACACAGGCTGGCCAGCAGGTGCTCCAAGTGGACCCTCAGCAAGCGTCCCCTCATGACTGTCCTCGTCCTCAACACCTGTCTCTTTGTGGTCCTCCCGCCCCGCTGGAAGCACAGATGGCCGGTCCATGTGGGGATGCCGGGGACAGCTCTACAGCAACACAGGTCGGGGGACACCAAGCTACGAGCTGGGGTTCTGGTTTGCTAACACGGATGCAGTGAGCACATCTATGCTGGCAGTGTGGCTTTGGGGACGTCTGTGATCCTCCCGTGTGTGCCCTGAGGGGGGTGGCGGTGGTGGTGACCCACAGGCAGGTGCTACAGGCGTCCAGGGCTGTGTGGAAGCCCTGTGCTACAGTGGATGTCACTCGGGACCTTCAGCTTGGGTTCCCAGCAGCCTCCTCACCCATCTGCAAAGATCCCGTGTTTGTTTCTCCCACCTGTGGGGAGGACCTCTCGGGGCCGTCACTGCCTGGCCCATGGCTCCACTCAGCCAGCAGGTATGGGTGGACAGACCTTCGGGTGGTGCTGGGGAGTCTGGGGTGACAGTGCCCTGCTGAGAAGTCTCCAGAGATGCCTCAGGGGTTGTCTCGAGCCCCTGGGCTGCAGAGCCACTCGTATCCAGGGATTTGTGGCCTGGATTTTGGGCACTTCATTTCTGAGGCCACAATGAAGGTGGCTTCCCCTGGCCCCAGTTCCTGGCACCCGTCCCCACTCTGCACTGCTTCTGCAGGGGTCAGTCATATCTGCATCTCAGGGGCTTGACAGAGTGTGCCTAAAGCACCTAGCCTGGTGGCTTCCCTGTGGCTGGCCAAGACACGTCCCTTATTATTACTGTCATAGGAACTAGTTCCGTAAGAAATAACCCTTGGTGTTTTCAAGTCCCCCGAGCCACAGGAGGCCCAGCATGGCTGTGCCTTGGGCCCTGTGCCCGGTCACCCCCATCTGGCCTGGGACTGCTGACTGCACCAAGAAAGGACGCTGGCAGCGACCCCCAGCCACAGGGTGACCCGTGCCCACTGGAGAACTTCCAGGGGAACCCCAATAAAAAACCAACAAACAAAAAGTCACCCTAAATCACGCACACGCACTCACACTCGATCCTTGGGCAGAGACGCCCGAGGGGCACTATTGGGAGGAGCGGGGCAGGGGGAGCTCCGGGGTTTGGACCACGGCGGGGACTCGAAGGTCTAGACCCCTCCAGCTGGACTCAGCCAGGACGCTCTGTGTCGGTCACCTGAGTCCGGAAGTCACCTCTCAGAAGCCACCAGCCCCAAAGAGAACTATTGCTTGCAGACGGGAGGCTCAGAACCTCCTGACACCCCCAGTCCCCACCCCTGAGTTTACTCTGAATCTTAGAAGTCCACGGAAGAGGGATCTGGGCACAGCTGGCATTTCCTTCTCGGCCGCCACCGCCGTCACCACCGCCGTCACTGCCGCCTGGGCTCTCCCTGGTGTCCCTGTCGAAGTTGTCCTCAGAGGCTGTGCTGGGTGCGTCCCGTCCTGCCTCCCCCATCCTGAGGCACAGCAAAGGGGTTTTCTGGGGAAGCAGAAGGAGAGAAAACATCATAGGGCGTCTCCCCCAAGGAAATCTGCTAAGGACATTCTCCGGGGCCTCAGAGCCAGGAGGTGCGGGGCTTTCTCGGAACATGCTTGTCCTGCCCCTGCCACTGTGGCCGGCCTCAGGGCTGTAAGAAATCTGAAGTCTCTCTGGCTCTAGAGAGCCCTAGAGACCCCAGCTCCAACGACTGTACAAAAAAGTAAAAGCAGAATCCACACTGGAACAGAAGGACCAACATCATAAGCAAGCAATAAACTCCACAGAAAATCTAACAGAATCAACAGAATCAGAACAGAGAGAGCAGATACAAAAGTGCAAGGTGTCTCGGTCCAGGGACACTTCTGTCCGCGACCCTCGTCATGAACTGAACTGGACAAGAACCAAATCAAATTTTGCATGAGGTCAACATTGAACCTCGATGTTGAATTGGATTTGGTTCTCATCTAACTTGGGTTGACCATGATTCTTCATGGAATCAGGTTCCTGAACCCAGGTACCACTGTAATTTCCAATCTGTGGGAGATCAGTTCCATTTTTAAAACTCTGGAGTACCTGTCTGCCCAAGCTTGACTGCATGACATGGGACAATCCCAGCTGATGTCTGTTGTTTGACACAATTTTTAATATTGTTCCCATTTCTCCCTAGAGAGTATTGGATTGGGATGGTAAATTATATAGTCAGCCTTGTCATAACAAACTAAAAACTGTTTAAAAGAGATACAGATGTCATTTGTGAGGGCAACAAAATCCATTATGCACCTTGGAATCACACCACAGAACTGTACCACGCAGAGGCATGGCGAAGACACCAGTACGCACCTCAAACAATAGTGGGCAGGGGCTGGAGTGCGGCAACAGGCCTGTGGGAATCCTGACAGGCAGAGTCAACCTGCATACAAGCCAGTGAGGAACAGAAGCACAAACTTCATCTGTGCAGGCACCATAAATTGCCTAGCTCACAGCCCAGCCATAGGGGCTAATCTTCCCAGATTCCCTTGCAATCTGGGTGGTCACATGACCCAGCACAACCAATGGTGTAGAAGTGGCAGTCCACAGGGCCATGAGGGTGGTCACATGACCCAGTACAACCAATGATGTAGAAGTAGAAGTCCACAGGGTGTGACGGTGGTCACATGACACAAGGCAGCCAATACCTTTGAAGTAGACATCCACTGGGCTGTAAGACAGCCAAGGTCATTGTGGGTTTTGCTATATTGTTTGGGATGAGAAAGTAGTTGGCACATAGCAGAAGCTTAATAAATAGTTCTTGAATAAATGAGCCAAGAACTTAAGCCCACACAAAGCATCTCTGAGGTATAAAGTCAGTAGGAAAACATGCAGGACATATATTTGAATTAGAGTTTCCATAATCCCTTCTTAAATTTATGACCCAGCAAGCCCAAGTGTAAATGGAATAACTCAGGCAAGAGTCCTGGCAGCCAGCACAGAATCTGTGTAACTCTAGGACCACGTGGGCAGCAAATCTGAAGATTAGGACTATTATGGAAAAGAGTGAGGGAGACAGCCGAGGTCCGATATAAATAATGATAAGTGGGAGGAACGGAGGGAGGCGATATAAATAAATTATGTCTGATTCATTTGAGCTGGGCTTCTAAATAATTGCTCAGAAGGTGAAGCACAATTAGAGACACAGAAGTCAGCAGCAGAAGAATATAATCCACTAACGGAAGTCGGTGGAAGGGGGGGAACGCAGGGTAAGTAGAAGCTTTTGAATTTTGACATCGTTCACAGTAGGGAGACCGTGAGCACCGTCCAGAGGAGCATGAAGTGCGTCACATCGCACTGTGATTATGAAGGTAACCATGGGATCAAAACACAGCTTTCCAAATTATCAGGAGATGTGTACACAAAAAATAAAACAAAGGAATCAGGGGCCATATGGTGAAAATTGACAACCCCCACAAAAGCTATAAACGCAGAAACGTAAGATAAACTACCAGGACAGAAATAAGACCCAATATATCTGCCGTATCAGTAAAGGAGCCGTGCGCACTTGCTAAAAAAGACACAGAGATCACAGGCAAAATGCACGGAAGGGGGGTGACGCAGGGAGATGTGTGTTCAACGCCGCTGAACGGGCGGGCGGCGGATCTTGTGTTATGTGCCTTTGGCCCATTTATAAAGAAAGGATGGGTGGGAACACAGCAACAGGGAGAGAAAAAAAGAAGCCACCCCGTGAGTGTCAGTGACCGAAGTCCCCAGGCAGATCTGACAGCAAGGGCTGTTTAGGTACTGGGCGGTGAGCTCAGTACCCACAGAGAAGGGGCTGCCGGGAGCCACGGAGAGGCCAGGCCTGTGCAATCACGTCACCCCTCCCAGGACAGCACCGAAGCGATGACTGTGTGTGTCTGTGCATTAAGCAGAACCTACTCTTTATTCCAGTGCCCTTGAACACACACAAAACTGACTCTCAGACCTAAAAGACCAAAGGCAGAAAGGAGCCAGCATTTCCTGATCACAACATAATCAAGTTTGAAACCACTTATAACCCGCCACAAAACAAGCCCGACCCGACAGCAGGATGTTTATAGCTCTTTAAAATGACTGTAGAGTGAGGCGGAACCAAAAACTAGAAACTATCGAACAGCTAAACAGTAACCAAACCGAAATGAAAATCTCACAACGAAAAATTCAAAAACCTTTTTATGATAAAAAGAACATTTCAGAGCCTGTGCGATGTAGCCAGGGGCAATGTTCAAGGAAAAATTCACAGCCTTAAATACTGGTCTTATTAATAAACAAGAAAACAAGAGGTAAAGATCCAGCTCAAGAAGTTAGGAAAGAAAGCCCAACCCGAGGGGGACACAGGAAAGTGCCAGACAAAACCGAGGTGGAGCTGACAACAGCAAAAGAAACTATCAGGTCGAACCCTGACTCTTCTGCAAACAGCAAGGTACGATAACTGTCATAACTTGGGCTAATAAAGCCCAAGATTTCAGGCGCAGGAGGAGGAGGGAGGACTCTTTGGGGCTTCTGCTCTCCAATCTCACTTCTGTGTCCTCCTCAAGGTCAGCTGTTTCCAGCAGATGGACCCAAGTGGCCACTCCTCCTATTCCGGGGCCTCCAGACCTGGCCTGGTTCTCTCCTGCACCCCTGGCCTCCTGCCTGGGTCCTGTGTGTCCCCCTGACCCTCCCCACTTCTGACCCCTCCCCCACCTCCTGTCCAGGATTAGATCCTGTTCTTAGATCTATGCTCAGGATTCTCCAGACTCAGACCCTCAGCTCTCAGATGCCACATTTATAGCCAGACTGTCTCCCTGGCATCAACTCCACGGCCAGACAGCTTTGCTTCCCTCCTTCCCCCCAGCATCAAGAATTGAACTCACAACCCCGGGCTTCCCAGGCAGGCGCTATGATATACCCCATATTTTAAACGTCTGCACCCTAAAACAGAGCTCCATGCTTCTTTCCCAAACCTGTTTTGCCCACAAGTTTCCTGGCCTCAGTAAATAATACCTTTGGTCCCTCTCTGTTGTTTTGTTTTTGTTTTTTGCCTTTTTGGAACAGGGTCTCGCTATGCAGGTCAGGCTGGCTTTGGGCTCACTTTATAGCCCAGACTGGTCTCGAACTTGCAACAATCTGCCTACCTCAGCCTCCTAAGTGCTGGGATTATAGGGGTGCACAACCACGCCCGGCTGGCCCCTCTCTTTCTTTCACATCCAATATCCAATCAACCCACTCGCAAATTCCTACAGCCCTTTGGAGTCCTCTCTACAGCCTGTGCTTTTTCTGGGCCGCCTCCTGGGCGGCAGGATCCTTACACCACCAGCCTCTTCTCTCTGTACCTGGCCTCCCTGCAGCCCCATCCCAGCTCCCTCTGGGGTCCCACACTTGTGACTCCTTCATTCTCCCCACTAAAGCTGTGAGGTCAGCCTCACGGGGACCAGGGAACCTGGACACCGGGTTAAACACTTGGGAAGAGTCCCGGCGAGCTCAGTGTCTTTCTGGCCGGCCAAGCTGATGGCCCATGGTGGACAGCTTAGTCCAAGTCCAGCCCACTGGAGGCCTGGACGGAACAAATAAACCGGGGAAGAAGCGTCTGCTTGCTGTCTTTGAGCAGGGATGCGGGTCCCCTGCTTTTGGGCTTGGCCTGGAGCCCGCCCTTCGCCTCCACAGGGTGAATGGTAACCTGCCCAGGGTTCTCCAGCTCTCCAGGGAGTGCCACGGAGCTGGGGACATTTTCTGGGTGAACACAGACCGGATTTCCTTCAGCTCACCCAACGACGCTAGCACCACCTGTGACCATTCATCAAGACGCTTCCCTTCTGCTGGCGGAAGTGCCAGGCAGATGGGCAGAGCACAGCTTCCGGGTGTCAGTGGATGATTGACAGGGCATAGGCCCATACAGAGGCGATGACCCACCCCAGCTGTGGCTATCACCAGCCAATAGGCTTGCAGCCTGGATGGACCGGTGGGGAGGAAGGAGGAAGGAGGAAGAGCGCTTGTGCCCTTTGCGTTGTCACCTTTGGATGTCCTTCTACGTTTCCTTAGCCTTTCACGGCAGACTTGGGTCTGTGACCTCGCTGGGACTTTCTGGGCCTCCAACCTCGCGTGGCGCTGCCTCGTGGATCTCGCGTTCCTTGATCTTTGCTATCTTCTTGGCTGAGCAGCTCCTGAGTCCTGGGGGGGGGGCATGCAGACGGCATGGTGCACTCTCCCACCTCTGGCCCTGTGTGACACCTGAAAATCCCCTCGATCGCACCTGCTACTGATTCCACCCCGCTGGAGCAGCCTAGCCAACGTGCCACCAGCGCGCCCGCGTCTCGTGTCTGCAGTTTCCCTGTCTGACCTCCACGCAGATGAGCCGAGCAGACGAATAAAGACAGCAGGGGGAGGGGAGAAGGAGAAGAAGGACTTCCACCCGCTTTAACACAGCAGCGTTACCACAAAGCCTCCGTGAGACGGTGCATTTCCAAGAAAAGAGAAATCACTCGAGGATCCAGGGAGGGAGAGCCTCA